TTCTAATATCATTATAAATCCACTGAATGCTATCTAGAATAGTGAGCTAATAAATACAGAGCTTCCGTATAACCGATCCCCAAACTAATTTGCAAGGTGTAGTTGATTGATTGATTGATCAATCACTTCATCTTTTTTATCCTTAAAGCACCGTACCTGTCAGTAGAAATTTCCATGCACATGAAGGCTCATGGCTCCCTTTGTTATCCTTCTTTATCAAGTTATGAGAAATTCATGATAATCTGCCTGCTCTCTGACAGATTAAAAAGTACTTCAAGGAGATGGGAGAGACATCCGATGTGAAATACATTGATCCTACTTACATGATCCGTGCATGCCGTGCTAATGCTTCAGATGGAATTCTGTGCACGGTACTTGGACAAAATGCTGTAAGTCTCTCATGCCTCACTTAATGATTAATTCAACTTCCCCTTCCCGACTTATATGTTTTGTGATTGAGACATTATTCAACCATTTATTAATTCAACATATGCACTTTTTGTTTTGACAGGTTCACGGTGCATTTGCTGGATATAGTGGTATCACAGTGGGTATATGCAATACTCATTATGTCTACTTTCCAATTCCAGAAGTCATCTCTAAACCCAGGGTTGTGGATCCTAACAGCCGCATGTGGCATCGTTGCTTGACATCCACAGGCCAGCCAGATTTTCTTTAATCAAGAGACAATTTATACTTCAGAAATCTATTGCAGTGTAAAATAGAGAAGCAGGGAGCCAAATTGAGAAGCTTTAGAGCTTTGCCGGTTCCATTTATTTAAGAAATAACACGGAAAATAGGATTCCCCCATTTTTTGCTAGGCATACATAATTTGATGCCAGTTCAGAAGGGCATATTGATAAATGAAGCTTTGTCAGAGACTAGGAGTAGCATTTTCACTTGTTCCTCACATTCTGTAAAGCTTCTCTTATGGTTAAAGAAATTCAATCTTAACCTAGCCCTTATGTACTATTTGGACTTACTCCTGGACCAATTAAGGTATACCATAAGTTATCGTCATTCAGTTGGACTTAGATTCATTCATATGTAAGTCAGAACTTCAATGGGACTGTTTTAATAATATATGACATGAGCAAATTCAAATGTGTATGATGTCCATTCAAAAATATAATGGCCTCTGAATGTGATTGTTATATCTTTAAATATTGAAGAAATATCATGTGAGTCTACCTGTTTCTAGCGATGAGTTTATTATTTTTTGCCAAGTATTTGTTACACCCAAAGATTATCTTAAGTTTAGATTGGTCTTTGAATATTGATTGAAGTTCTAGTAGCATGCAGATTATTTGGGGTTTTTAGTGCATGCAGATTATGCTGCATCCGCTTGTAGCAGTGGTAGGAGAATAGCAGAATGAACTTATAACCATTAAGGAGATTAAGAATGGTCAAACGCCAGTATTTGTTTAGTGACAATGACTAAGGTAGGTAATTATCATTGCTTTCGTTGAACAACTTTTCCATAAAAAAGTATTAACTGTTAAATTACCAAAGGATGTCAAAGACCTAGTGAAATAAAAAGTTCTCATAATTAACAATAGGTTCTATAGCATATTCTGTCTTCAAATATAGGGGTGTACATAGGTCGGGTTGGTTCAGATTTTTCAATTATCAAACCAAAACAATATTGTCGAGTTTTTAAATTTATAAACCAAATCAAACCAACAAAGTCGGATTTTTCAATCTCGGGTTTTCTCAGGTTTTTTGGGTTTTTTTCCGGTAAAGTCTTCATAGCATAAAATATGTAACTTGTGCTCCAAATATTTCTTTAAGTCCTTATAAAATACAACTATATAATGTGTTTTCCAAGAAACTAACACAATAATATGAGATAAGTTATAGCATTATACTAAAATATTCAATAACATTGATAAAATAATAAAATTACATAAGACAAATATTGCTAATTAATAAGCCATAATGAAAATTAACATTATCTAAAAATACTATATAGGTCATGCTAAAATAAGTATAGCTAATAAGTACGAATATTAATTACATAACTAAGCACTAAAGAAAAAGATAAACTAAGTTATACATTTTCATTATAAACCAATGTAAAACTAAAATAATTATCCAACACTATCGTCATTCCTAGTATTGAATTGAATTTCTTTTGTTAGCATTAGTATTGATTTAACTTTGTTTGAGTTATTACATTTTTAGGGGCAGAGCGACCGGGCAAGACGAAATTCTGGTGGAATTTTGGAAGTGTGTGGGGAGAGCAGGTTTGAAGTGGTTGACTAGGTTGTTTAATATTATTTTTAAGGGNTTTTTGGTAAATGTCGATCCGTAGTTAACATCGGATGGGATTTTGTCTCGCCCCAAACACAGGGAGCGCGGCCATCGCTCAACCGGAGAAATTTTGGAAGTGGGTGGGGAGAGAAGGTTTGGAATGGTTGACTAGGTTAGTTAATGTTATTTTCAAGGCGAAGAGGATGCCGGATGAGTGGAGGTGGAGTACGGTGGTTCCATTGTATAAGAACAAAGGTGATATCCAGAGTTGTAACAATTATAGGGGTATCAAATTACTGAGTCATACCATAAAAATATGGGAGAGGGTGGTTGAAGCGAGGGTGAGGATGACAGTGTCTGTATCCGACAACCAGTTCGGGTTCATGCCGGGTCGTTCGACTACAGAAGCTATACACCTTGTTAGAAGGTTGGTGGAACTATACAGAGAGAGGAAGAAGGATCTGCACATGGTGTTTATTGACCTAGAGAAAGCGTATGATAAGGTTCCTAGAGAAATTCTCTGAAGATGCCTGGGGGAAAAAGGTANGAAGCGAGGCTTAGATGGTTCGGACATGTTCAGAGGAGAAGCCCAGATGCTTCGGTACGGAGGTATGAACAGCTGGTTGTGGAAGGCACGAGAAGAGGTAGAGGGCAACCTAAGAAGTATTGGGGATAGGTGATCAGGCAGGATATGACGAGGCTCCAGATTTTCGAGGACATGTCACTTGATAGGAAGATGTGGAGGTCGAGCATTAGGGTTGTAGGTTAGAAGGTAGTTGAGTCGTGCCTTACTTCGTACCATTGTGGGTCTAGCCATGTAGGGTTTTTGTCTAAGATAGCTAGTGGCAATGTTGTGGCTTACTATTTCGCTTTTCAGTGCATGTCCTATTTACTAGCTATCGCTTTTGCTTTGCATCTTTCTTCTAGATTTCATGGTGTTCCTATTTTTCTTATGATTGTTGTGGTGATACTAATATTTACTAATATTGTCTCCCTTTGCTTTGCATCTTTCTTCTGGATTTCATGGTGTTCCTATTTATCCTATGATTGTTGTTGTGATACTAATATTTTTTTTTTTTTGTCATTTTGTCTTTTTATTTTTTTGAGCCGAGGGTCTTTCGGAAATAGCCTCTCTACTCCTTCGGGGTAGGGGTAAGGTCTGCGTACACACTACCCTCCCCAGACCCCATTAGTGGAATTTTACTGGGTCGTTGCTGTTGTTGAGTTACTACATTTATGGGCAATAAAATTTATTTACCATTCAAGAATGTTAAGTCTAAACTTGAAATAATACGTTAAAAGATAAAATTGTGAAAAAGTTTAAGAAATATTTATAAATTACATTACAATACATATTTATATGTATAAAATATTTTTAAAAATTATATAAATGTACCATCGGGTTTGTTTGGTTTCGGTTTGAATTTTTTTAGTTAAAACCAAACCAAACCAATTATGGTCGGGTTTTATTTTCCAATACCAAACCAAATCAAACCAAACCATATCGATTTTTTTTTCGGTTTGACTCGAATTATCGTTTTGGTGCGGTTTATCGGTTTTCTTTGTACACCCCTACCCAAATACATAGGAATCGACAAAGAAATCAGCTTTAAAACGGGATATTCATATGACCATGCTTAGCTGCTAGTTGCTCGGGCAAAACTGTCCAAATTTTCCTCTTTTGGTTTTCATGTGGATTGTGACTAAAAATATATTTTCAGATCTTTTAAATTCAGAGATTAGGAAACAGAATTCACACGTGGCTTTCGGAAAAGATTAATGGTTGAGTTAATAGTTAATACTCCTCTGTAGCTAAAATTGTGATATGAATCAAAAAAAGCTTCGTCGCCTGAGAGATTCGAACTCTCGCGGGGAAACCCCATGTACTTAGCAGGCACACGCCTTAACCACTCGGCCAAAGCGACCTGTTGATTTGTGCTGTAAGGCTAATAATATTATTCCTTCTCAATAATCCGGACAACAAGAACTATTACTCTATTTAAACTATTAAAAGTAGAAAGTTCTTGAAGTTCTAGTTACAATTAAATCTCTGAAAAGCTAAACACTTTCTGGAAAAAAAGTATACAACATAAAACACATACTATTATCAACTACTCTCTCCGATTCACTTTAATCGATTTTTTTGTCTCTTTTTACACATATTAAGTAATTCATCTTTTAGCATTAATTAACAATGAGATTGATCATATTAACCTTAATTTGCTAATTGAAAATATAACAAACTACTCATAGGCTCTTTACTCCAAGGACAACTTTGAAAAGAAGAAGTTAATTCCTTCTTGATATCTGAAAAAATTAAATATTCTACACCATAATAAAAGGCCAATGGACCGGAGTGAGTAGTAGGTATCTCTTTCTCCATTTAAAGTCCAAATACATTTTATAAAGTTAAAGGGATTGTACATATATAGTTTACTTTTTGTTTTGTTTTAAATTTTTATTTCCGTCTCTTGTTAATTTCCATCTCTCTATAAGTTTAGATTGACATCATTTTTCGGAAAAATAAAGAAAGAAACTTTGCTTTAGAATAGTAGAGGAACTAGACGGAAAAAATTAATAGCAACAGTGAACTACATCAAATGCTGTTTCACAATAAAAACATAACACTCAGACAAATTTCACAATCAGCTCAAATAACATTGGAAATTAAACGAAAAGAAACAATAGACCAAACAAGGGTAAAATTAACAAGTAGTACTAGTAATATATTTAGTGGAGCTGCACGATTAGTTGGATGGAGGAGGTGAAAGTGTAGGGATGGTAGGAAGTGAAGGCATGTTGGGAAGAGGAATATTGGCAGGCATTGGTGGTAGAGTCATCTTTGGTACAGAGGGCAATGTAGGCAGAGATGGCAATGTTGGAAAAGATGCAACACTTGGCAATGGTGGCAATGTGGCTGCTGTTGGCAAATTTGGGATTGTAGGCAAGTTCGGAAGTTGAAGTAGGCCGCGAGCAGCATGTGTTGTAGTGATGCTTGATAAGGACAATAATGCTATGATCAAGAAAAGGATTGAGCAGTTGCAACTGGAAGCAGCCATTGTTTATTTTGCTCAAGATTGATGATTTGTTTTCCAAGGAAGTTAAGTTGTGTTTTGAGTTGATTTGAGTTTGATCATTAGTACTAAAGGGTATATATAGGGGAAGTTATTGGGGGACTATGAGGATTTGGTGAGATGTTGTACTACTTTTAAGTCAAGAAGTTTTCTGAAAGTAGTTATGCGTAGATGAAATTTAGATCAACTATATTTGGTGGACATTTGATACAACACTAGTTGGTAAAATCTTTTCAATAGTTTTAAACTAATATTCTATATTGGTTGGGAAGGGACCCTTGTCGTATTGGTCACACGGGTTCTATATGTGAAAACAGCTTCTTGTAGAAATGTAAGTTAAGATCGCGTACAATCCGCCCTTATGATCCGGACTTTCCCGGACCCCACGCGTAACGGGAGGTTAGTGGACCGGGCTGCCCTTTTATTCTCTATTGGTTGGCACCATTGATAGGATGGTAATCTTGCAACTGCGTTAATACACATAGAACATTCTAAGAAATTCATATTTTTTCCTCTCGAGTAGCATGACTAACAAAACCACGAAATAATTTTTTTTAAAAAAGACAGCAGAATGAAATGTTAATTAACTGGTTTACTGTTTCTCATTTTCCTATAGTTTCTCCTATAGTACAGTTTATTGACAATTGATCCTTGCGATTTTTTTCAACTACCTAGGACATGTTTGCTTGCCTAATAATGGTCAAATAACTAATCAGCTCAACAATACTTTGAAGCCTAACACATTTCCATGTGTAATTTGTCCTCTGATCCGAAGAAACAACATGCTTGTTACGGATCGCTAAAAAAATAATACGTAGTACTATTGATCTCATTAAAAGAATTATTCCTATTAGATTAAGCAAATGTTTGGGTTCTTTACCTTTTCGGAAGTAGTAAAAATTGAAACTGAAGGCGAATATATCATATTTGAACATTTACTCATATAACAACTTCAATAACTATGCCTCAATCCCAAACAAGTTGGGGTCAACGATATATAATGAATCCTCACTTATCTTTAAGCTCAACTCATTCATTATCATTACTAAAATTAAATAAAATTAGAAGTAAAAAATCAAATAAATATATATAAGTAGTAGTAGTAAAATAATAATAATAATACAAAGGCTACTGCATAATAAATGTATAACACTCAAGAGAGCATAACTGATACGATACATATCGTTAAGAATCACTCAAAAGATAAAAACAACAACAACAGAGAAAAAGGGAAGGAAAAAAAAAAATCAAACGGCAGAGACCATAGGATAAGACAGGAAAATGTTGGAAGCTGCAAAATCAGTTGGATGGAGGAGTTGCAAGTGTAATGTAACGACCCGACCGATCGTTTTGCTGTCTAGATCCTCGTCCCCTAAATAAGACTTTCCGTATGTACTTTTACTTTTTTATGACTTGCGGGGATGGTTAGTCCGGGATTTAGAAAAGTTCGGGTTGAAATCGGAACACTTGGTTCCTTAGTTGGCTTTTAAAAAGACCAACTTTGACTTTGATCAACATTTTGAGTAAACGACCTCGGAACCGGGATTTGACGGTTTCAATAGTTTCGTATAATGATTTTGGATTTCGACGTATGTTCAGACCGGGTTTTGGATGACCCGAGAGCGTTTCGACGCTTAATATTGATAGTTGGCACCTTGAAGGTTTTAAAGTTCTTTAAATTTGGTTTGAAGTAGATTTTGGTATTATCGAGGTCCGTTTGGGATTCCGAGCATGGTAATAGTTCTGTATGGTGATTTGAGACTTGCACGCAAAATTTGGTGTCATTCCGAGTAGTTTAAGTATGTTTCAGCGCGTTCGAAGTAAGTTGGAAGAACTTGATGTTCATAAGTTGATTTAATTTGGTTTGGGGTATGATTCTTAGTTGTGATATTGTTTTATGCATTCCGAGGGTTCGAGTTGAAAGCTTCATCTAGGAATAAGGGTGGATTGACATGGTGAAATAAGGNATATATATATATATATTATCTACAGTTGTTGATATCGTTACAGTGAAATAAGGGAGTATTTTGTTTTGTCTGGTGGGATCAGGTTGCGCTCTGCAACAACCTATATGTTTTTATTTCTTGAGCTGTGTTGGTTTTTCCGGCATTTTTATCTGAATTATTAAAGATTGGTAATTCTGGACGACACTATTTTATTGTTGAGGCTATGGTTATTATTTTCAGTTGGCTGTTTAATTCTATTCAGTATTCCCTTTTTTGTCATTATTATATACTGCATTCAGGTTGTAGTGTAGGTGGCCCGCCTTAGCCTGGGCACTACTTTGTCGAGGTTAGGCTCGACACTTAAAATACTCTTAATATTTAACGAACTTAATATAAAATAAAAGTTGAATAGCTATCGATGAAATTAACCTATGAATTAAGGTCTTATTTGAACTTTCTGACGTAGATGCATGTCCCAAGTGGTTGACCAAAAATTAATGGCATTGCCCTCATTTTAGCGTGAACGCCAGGTTTTATTTTTATTTAAAAAACTTTGCTATGTTTGTCTGATTTCATTAGCTTCCACCTAATCTAATTTATTGCACTCTCAAAAGCTTGCACAATATTAACTACAAGAATTGACTTTGCAGCAAAGTTTTGATTAAATTGGGTTATGATCCTTATTTTTACTTAACCATTTTAATCCGATCGTTTGTCTATTTAAAACCTATAATCTTTGTTCACAACAGGAGCTTATTATGAACAGAGTGGACGCAAATACGACGTTAATAAGTAGAGACACAAACGATAATAAGTTGAAAGCCTACATCTCACATCAACCTCAAAACATACTGATCAGACAATCAGTACATAACACTCAAGANCATACTGATCACACAATCAGTACATAACACTCAAGAAAGTACAAATGATACGATACATAATCGTAAAAATCACTCAAAAGACTGAAATGAAAAGGAAAAAGAAAAAGAAAAGAAAGACGATGGAAAAGGGAAATTAATTAAGACAATTAAAATGTCAAAGCCACAAGCTTAGTTGGATGGAGGAGGTGAAAGCGTAGGGATGGTAGGAAGTGAAGGCATGTTGGGAAGAGGAATATTGGTAGGCATTGGTGGTAGAGTCATCTTTGGTACAGAGGGCAATGTAGGCAGAGAAGGCAATGTTGGCAAAGATGCAACACTTGGCAATGGTGGCAATGTGGCTGCTGTTGGCAAGTTTGGAATTTTAGGCAACTGCGGCATTGTTGGCTGAGGCAATGACGGTATTGTTGGCAAGTTTGGAAGTTGGAGTAGGCCGCGAGCAGCATGTGTTGTAGTGATGCTTGATAAGGAAAATAATGCTATGATCAAGAAAAGGAT